CTCCAGCGCCACTAAAAATTATCACTAAAATCGTTTCGGTCATTTAGAAGTTAAGTCACCAGAATAAGGGCCGGTTTCTCCATGTCCGATTAATTGCTTAATTATTACTTATTCGGAAGGTAGCATAAAAAGCGTTTTCTCAAAGTCCGATTAGGGCTCACCTGTCAGATAAGTTGTGGTTATTTTACCGCGAACATTGGCTATCGATTAGCCGCTAATCGAAAGAAAAATTTACAGGTGAATATAGTACAATAGTGCATAAAATTGTATTTCACTACCAATTAGATAATAATAAAGAGTTATAGTGTGTATAAAAAATGGAAAATTTGGAACGCGCAGCCCATCTATCTGGTTTGATTCAGAGACGGATTAATAAAGAACGAAAATACCGCACCAAAACAAATTTTTTTGAAGAGTATGACGACGACACTTTCATTTGCAGATTTCGTATCTCAAAAACAAGTGCTAAATACATTTTGAAGAAGATAGAAACAAAAATTCGGAGCCCCACTGAAAGGTTTGTGAAAATAAAATGGTCGGAGTAAATAAATACATTCATGCCTATTACGGATGCCGACTGCATGTATCTAACTTATTCGAATATGAAGGATTAGATTCGTGTGAATGGCATCCGTCGAACCGGAACAGGCATGTATCAAACTGATGCCATTGGTATGAATGTAATCCTTCATACTCGTTTGTGATGGCAGTGCGATGTTATCCATCGAATACTGTAATAGGCGTGCATGTTCATAATTGATTTTATCTTGCAGAAATCGAGCAATCAGTGCAGCGGAAATATTGCTTCTAGCATTGCGCTTCTACGCTTCAGGAAGCTTTTTGATTTGTGTTGCTGATTTCTGCGGAGTAAGCGTACCCAGTGCAAGTCGAGCAGTTAGCAAAGTTTCCAAAGCTATCGCGGGACTTGCTCCAACATTTATTAAAATGCCAAAAACAAGCACGGAAAGCGAAAGCGCGAATCGTGCATTTCATCAAATAGCGAAGTTTCCAAAGGTAGTGGGATGTATCGACTGCACTCATATCAGAATCCAGTCCCCCGGTGGAGAAAATGCCGAAATTTTTCGAAACCGTAAAGGATACTTTTCCATCAATGTGCAAGCTGTCTGTAATGCAAATTTGGAACTAACAGACCTTGTATTCAGGTGGCCTGGTTCCGCACATGACAGCAATATTTTCAGCAACAGTCGTCTGAAGCACCGATTTGAACAAAATGAGTTTAAAAAATGTTTTTTATTGGGCGACAGTGGTTATGGAGTCAGCAACTACATGATGACTCCACTTTTACATCCCAATACTCCCGCTGAGAAACTTTACAACGAATATCAATACTCGGAATTGTATTGAGAGGTGCTTTGGAGTATGGAAGCGCCGGTTTCCAGTGTTATCGCTTGGATTAAGACTTTCACAGTGCACAATCATGAACGTTGTTGTTGCCTGTGGAGTGTTGCATAATATTGCTATTCAGAACAAAGACGCTAACCCAAATGAATTAGAAGGCTTTAACTTTGGCGAACCAGCAGATAGACCCGTTCATGCAGACGAAAGGATAGCTGAGGTGCAAGAAAACGCTGATATAAGATCAAGTTTAATCAGAGATTATTTTTCAAGGTTGGTTAATTAAAAAGAATGCACAAGTTTATTTTTAATTATTGTTATTGAGCTTTGTACCACGATTATGTTTATTAGAAAAAATAATAATAATCATAATCGTGGACAAAGCTCAATATCAATATTAAAAATAAAATGTTAATAAGCCACAAGAACATTGCCAAATGCATAAGTTTATTTTTTAATGTATTTTTTGTTATATTTCAGGTTGTAAGGAAATGTCTACATACATACATACACCCGTTGCGTAATATAAAGTCGTCACATATTAACAATCGTAGTTTTTGTTGACAGTGCTAGGCATTTTCTTCCATATCAACGACTGAGTGGAAGATCGACCTATCTCGGCAGACAGTTCGAAAACGCCCTAACTCAGAAAACTTTTCAAAACGGCCTATTTTAGAATTTATTACAAGCACGCTGCCGATTCTTAAATATCCTACCTCGACATATTTTCAATATACTTTCAGTTGAGATAGGGCGTTTTTGAACCAAATTCTAAGATAGGGCGTTCTTCAATCGAATTCTGAATTAGGGAGTTCTTGAAAAGTTTTTTTGAGGTATGGCGTTTTCAAACCGACTGCCGAGATAGGTCGGTCTTCCACTCAGCCGTCGATATAAAACCACTTAGAACATAAGTACTTTGTATGCAACGGAGTGTATATTCATCATATTCAAATAAATTTCATGTCATTGTAATTTTCCTTTTTTATTAACAAAACAGGAATTCAGGTACAATACATTATATATTGAATATTAATTAAAGTACTTACACTTAGTAGAAGCTAAAAATTACAAAAATGTGTTTCATCTAAAATGGTGCTCATAAATTTTTTTAAATATATATACGAAACTCACATATTGACAAAATTTCACTATCTACATATTTGTAGATAATTAAAAAGCTCGAAATTTTTAAGAAAGTTTGTTGATTTCTTTTTTTAATGTACAAAGATTTATGGCCTTATTCATAAAAAATAAAGTAGTTTTACAAAAGGTTTATAAATTGAAAAATGTATGAAAACGTCAATTTATAAAGCTCTTTAAACCTACTTTATTTTTTATAAATAAGGCCATTAAACTTTGCATTTATACGGCTTTTGTTAAAGAATAAAATATACTCTCATAAAAAAAAGGTAAAATCTTGTCAATATGTGAGTATACGGCACTCATGATAAGCACTGCATATGAGATCATTACAATTGCGAAATAAACAAAAGGAATATTCAATCGTAGACAACTAAAAAAAGATTAAATAATATAAATACTGGTTCTAAGTTATTATGAGCACCCAAAAAATATATAAATAACTTCGGCGTACTATATCTATATCAATATAATAATTTTCAGAAAATCCATATTTATGGTTCGACTTAGTTCAATTTTAATAAGCAAGCTACCTGAGTAAGCATTAATATTGGCAACATAGTTCAGATGTTACATCTATTTTTGACAGACACCAGATTGACACCACCAGGTTGAATTTTGATAATCTTTGTACGAAGATTTAAATGTGGACTTATGTGCCGCTGGATAGGTAAAGTGCTAAACTTTTATAAATAAAAGAAAAATAGCCAAAACTAGTCAAAGTGTCACTTGACTGAATCAACTGACACAAGGGTATATCGAAAAGTAGTAAGCTACGCAGACGCAGTCGCGGGTATCAGTTAGTTTTTCTATAACAGTATAGCTCATTATATAACAAAAACCATAAAAATCAAAATTTTTAACTAATTCAAAAATTCTAGCGGCATATTTGTAGTCAAAATAATGTCTACTCCAAAGTTAGTTGCAGCTTTTTGACATTATTTTCAAGGAAATATCTGTCGAAAAAGCTGCAGCTAACTTTATAGTCGACTTTATGTTGCCTACGAATATGCCCCAAAAAATTTTATAAACTTTTCATACCAATTATAAACATTGTAATTAAAATTTCTAGAAAGGGTTTTTGTAAATTGCAACTTTGAAAGAAAAAGCAGTATAAAACTTCTGCTCTCAATATAAGCAGCGGCAGAACACCACATCTAATATGAAATTATAACTTTTAGAAATAGATATAGATTAAAGCAGTTGACTAGAACTTCTATGTTTCTTATAATCAATTTCTATTTGCAAAAGTTCTAATTTCATCTGAGCTTCTTTTACTTCGAGTGTATGCTTTTCGTTCGCCATTGCATGCTTGTCTACCGCCCTTTTGTTTTCTTCCTCCCAAAACAAATGATAGGAATCGGGAATGGTCTTATTTTTTTTTCTGCTCTGATTTGACCTCCAGCTTATTAGCTTTTTTCGTCCGTAAACTAGTTGGATTCCATGAGCTCCAATCAAGTGTATTTTCCTGAAACAGTTTATATACACATATGTATATTAGGTAAAATTAATGGAAATACACTATAATATTATATTACAATCTCTGCACCCTGAATAATCTCCACATCATTCGCTGTTTGACTTGGCATAGAGTCGTTCAAAGATTGTTGTTGTAGAAACCGTGCTTTTCCAAGCGAGGGGTTGAGGCGTATATCAATGTTTTGGTCTTTGATCGGGCTTTCCTTGATTGTTTCGGTAGCGGAGCGCAGATCCCCATTAATATCGTCCACATATTCGATTTCTTGAAAGGCTGAAATCATATACACATGTAATGAATATACTAGGGCTGAATGGAGGATATTGTGGAGATGGTCTTGGATTTGCATTTGCAAAATATGTGAGTTACGCGGTTTTGCAGACGATACGCAGCTTTGTACTTTAAACGGCGAAATGCAAAATCATATCCACAAGATTCTGAACAGCGCAATTGTCTTTTTAGCTCAGCACCAGATGGAAATCAAGCACAATTTTTAAGTTTTATATTTGTTTTTATCACCGATGTTTTGACCTCAGGACTTGAAAACATCATTATGTATAAAAGCATTCATATGCACATGTTTATAAGCATTAAAAATAGCACAATTTGTTGAGTGTATAACTATGTATGTATGTCTCTAATGTAAGCCATAAACGTTGCGAGCGTTGGTTCAACTCGATTCGTAATCAAGTTGGACGTTTTGCCTACAAACAAATCTCACTGCGCAATCTCATTTTTACAATTTCATAGCTTCGGCATCCATTTATAAACTTCATCACAAGCACAAACTCGGCTAAGTTATCCATTTGGGGTTATTTAGTGAACAAATACAACACACACAATGGGCGGTGTGCATAAAACCCAAGCAAATGCTTTTTCTTAAAATTTCAAACCTTTTACTCAATTTGTTCAAATAAATTTAAGTGAAAGGTATGAAAATTTAAGAAAAAGCAATTGCTTCGTTTTTATGCATACGGCCCAATGTTTTTTGCTAAGTAGTTACCACGAAAATGATTACAAAAGTTGAGTAGAACAGCTTGCCAGAAAATCAAAAAATGTTGATCTTTCATACAACCAAGACACAACTTCATTCAACGGGCGCACATACGTTGCAAACTCGAGCACAACATCCTTAAGTTGAACCAAGGGTCGCAGCGTTTATGGCTTGCATTAGTCCTGAGGATCATCTCAAATAGAGGTCGAAATCTCGATGACAAAAGTACAAATACACCAGTTAAAAATTATTCTTGATTTTCATCTATCCTTAAGCTCAAAAAACAAATATATTGCTTGCAATTAACACCCAATCATAAGGATATAAACAATACACATGTACTGATTAATTCCCTTAATATTGATGTAGCAATAATGTCAATCAATCATTGTCCAATCCTGTAGCAGATTGACCCATTAAAGCAGCCAACCTTTCTGTGTTGATGTCCCGCCGCTGCTTATATACTCCACCTCCTGTTTTATAAAGTTCCATTTTTTCTTCCGCCAAGCATTTTCTGGCCCTCCTCTTTAAGTTCTCATATTTTTCGCGTAAATTTTTTGCACTTCTCCTGATTCCAACTTGAGCCTCAAATTCGACGTCGATAGTTTCCCAGGCCTTCCGCTTTTTCTCCCAGGTCACTGCATCCGTTTTTTTATTTTCAATAAGATTTGCGTGCCGCTCCGCCAACGTAATTAACATATTTTCCTCAGTGCTAGTGAAATTTGGAAGCCTTCTTTGTTTGTTTTCCATTATTCTATACACAAATGAAAATTATTAAATAAGCAGCGTAAAATTTGGAAATGCGCGGGATGAAAATTATGAAATAAATGTAAACAAATGTCAGCTGTCATGCAGTTTTTATGTATTCACAAAGCAATTTTTGTGACCTTTTTCGTAAAATATTCACAATAATCAAAATAATCCGAAGTCAGCTAATTAGAACTTGGTGAAAATGAAACTGTCAATTCAAACTACCAGGTGGTTAACCAACCACGGGTTGAGGGTTATGTTAATCAGACATAGAGAAACCGGCCCTAAGTCTTTTACATTCTGACACTGTTCGGCTTTTTTCCCATACAAAA